TTTATTTAAAATATCAGTTTTTGTTAGAGCATCTCATTTATTCAGATAGCTCATGTTGTGCGAAAAACACTGACATCAATGACTGTGAAGCTCACTAAAGTACTTTTTTGTGCATATTTTTGTTGCATAAAGAAACCTGAGAAGGCAGTCCAGTGGAAACAGTGGCAGCAACACGAATATGCTGAGTTTAGTCTCAACTAGAAAACATTCACATTTGAATTTGTTCTTGCCTTTTTGACATAATCTTTCTTCAGACTTCTGCTTCATTTTTGCAGCATTTTAGATAAACTGAAAAACCTCATAAAGGAAATTTAGCATAGAATATACAGAAAAAACACGACCTCCAATCAGATATATGTACATTTTCTACTGTAATTTATTATTGGTGTTTATGTTATGGCATCATTGTTTTTATTTGTGCAGTAAAACTCAGAAGACATCACTGTTTCTGTATTTTAGAAGTCTGTTACTCCAAATAGTTTGGTACCATTTATACGTTTAGTTGTGACTAATAACTGACTGTTGTATTTGTAGGATTTTCTTTCAAACTGCTGCTGCAGCTGGAAACTGTAATGCAGGAAGTTGTCCAAAAGGAGGCGCCACTGCATCAAAAATAAAAAGTCACTGAGTATTTACAGTTTATTGCTGTGTTTGGCAGCTTCAGTCTTCTTTTTTTTTAAATTCAACCCGAGATCTTTCTGTGTGGAGTTTGCATGTTCTCCCCGTACAGTGTGGGTTCTCTCCTGGTTCTCCAGCTTCATCCCACACAGTCCAAAAACATGTTGAGGTTAATTGGTGACTCTGCTTCATGTGGAGGTTATTTTATCAGATGACAACAGAGACCGTTCAGTTATGTATTTGCTCAATAAAGAGGTCTAATCTTCAAAAATACAACTTTCCTGTTTCCAAATCACACAATGAAATATAAAGGAACAATACAACACTAATAAATCCCCATAGTGTGGCTGCTACAGTTAGTGATTTAGATGAGTAGAGGATAGGAGGAGACAAGGATACAGAAAGATCTGAGACCAACTAAAAAGCAATTACAGCACAAGTGCAGAATTCAAATTCAAATTTTTCAAATCAAGTTTATTGTCATTTTGCTGTCCAACAGTAGTACATACCAGATGAGAGAGTGTTTCTTCAGGATCCAGTAACTTAAAGCAATTTAAATAAAGAAGTGTTTGTATATCTGGATCAGCAGTTCAGCATTCTGACAGCTTGTGGTATGAAGCTGTTGATCAGTCTGGAGGTTCTTCCTTTAATGCTCCAGAAACGTTTGCCTGATGGCAGCAGTTCAAACAATTCATGGAGAGGGTGTGAGGAGTCCCTGACAATGTTCAGTGTCCTGCTCCTGCAGCGGCTCTGGAAAAGGTCTTGGACAGAGGGGAGGGAAACTCCGATGACCCTCTCAGCTCCTCTAGTGATCCCCTGCAGGGCTTTTCTGTCTGACATGCTGCAGCTGGAGGACCATGTGGAGATGCAGGATGTCAGAACCCTCTCCATCACACGGCTGTAAAGCGTCCTGAGGATGCTGGCAGGGAGAGAGGCTTGTTTCAGCTTCCTCAGGAAATCATTCAATTCATTAGCAGGTATAGAATGAACCATAGTACCAATAAATATCAGTCTTCCTAAATGACAATACACAACCTGCACCATGTACCTCTGAAGAACAGACACATTGGTACGTTATCAGAGGAAATCAGAGTTTCAGTGAAGCACAGAGGAGATGAGCATGAGTGTAGAAGGTGTTGATGACATTTATAGATGAACGTCTGTGGAGAAACCAGAAATACTGGCTGACAGCAAGACGTCCAGCAGAAGAGGAACGTTTCAGCATGATCCAAAACACAACATCACACAAGAGTTCTGAAGAAGTTCTGGTTGTTCTGGTCCTGCTAAGGATCCCAAAATGTACAGGTTGTGTTGCTTAGTTTATATATATAGAGCTCATTCATTAGAAAGTTTCGCTCTGTCAAGTAATGACCAAGTGGAGAAGCCGGTTAAAGGTATTAGTTCTTCAACCAACAGTTATTTTCATTGTCAAAACATCTGACAGCGTTTTAAAAAATGAATGTTTATAAAATGTCAGAAAAATGTCACATATGCACATAATAACTCCCCGAAGCTCAAGTTAACGTATTTAATTGTTTAGTTTTGTTACAGAACATTCAAAAGTCCAAAGATGTTGAATTTACTATCATGGACATCATCCATTTATGAAGCTTGTAGCAGAGACTTTTGTGGCCATTTTAAGTGTTGTTTAATTTGACTTTAATAAATAAAGAAACAGACATTTTAATTTTCTCTCAGCAGCTAAACAACAGCAGAACTGCTCTTTGCCATGTGGGGTCTCATCCTCGTTTCAGTTTTAAATCTGAATACAGACTGGTGGTCTGATGCTGCTGGTGCTTCTTGACCTTATTAAACATTAGTGATTCTCTTTAGTGTTTCCTGTTAGAAGCATCAGAAATCAGAACAAGAGGTAGATTGTAACAAACCAGAATCATTAAGTTCATCTATGGGTTTGATTTTGTGACATTTTAATGCTCCTTTGTGTACTCACAGGTATTGTTCATGTGTGTGATTGTTCTGTGTGCACAGTCCAAACAAACCGGCTCCAGTGTGTTCATGAAGTCTCTGGTCATTGTTCAAACTGGCCGTCTGCTCCTCTGGATTTGGGGAAAGCGATGAGTGAGATGGACGGATGCGTTCGATGTCAACATGAGGAGTTCGGAGAAAAGAAAACGCAGCTTTGAGCTCAGCAAAGAGCCCTTCAGGTACCCTCGTTCTTCTGGGTGCTAAAAAACAAAAGACCCTCCTTTAGGAGGAGGAGGAAAGTCCGAGATCCTCTCAGACGTGTGCAGGCTGCAGTCGGAGGGCTGGATGGTGGAGCAGTGAGACGCTGTGGACGGCAGCTGATGGGTGAGTCTGACAAAAACTTCACTTTTACACCAAACAGGAGACGACGACACGGAGAGAGAGACCCGACATCAAGCTGGAGGGAGATTTACTCCTGATTCTGGAAGTTTTATTGAGGAAAACCTGCTCCTGTGAGACTGGATTGTCCTTTAAAACATCAGCAGCAGAAAGTGGAATGAAGTTCTCAGAGCGCTGCAGCTTCTGTTCAGTGTGTTTGTATATTAGAAGTCCAGAGATTATTCATTATGTGATGTGTGACCGAGTCAACACAGGTTGTCCTGCATTTACTCACATAGACAAGAATCCAGAGGAAACAAGAGCCGCTGCATGAAAGGCCACAAGTGCTTTCAATAATATGGAAGAAAAGAAAACTACAATAAGAAGAGAGAAAGAAAAAACATCTGAATAATGTTTCCCAACACTAGAACTAAGAAGTACCCACATGTGTTTAGCATTATATTAAACACATTCTGCTGCAGTGCTGGTTCAGTAAAATGAGCCTGAATGCAACATACAGAGTCCAGATAAAGTCCTTCATTAAACAATAATCCAGTGACTTTCCAAAGATCAGCAGCAGCAAGAAGGACGACAGATTAAATCAAACTAATAACTCAAAATATCTGCTTCAGAAACTCATCACAGCATCTGACTGGTGTTGTAGTTAAATCACAGACGATCATACAGCAAATATGATCTCATGAGGAACGTTTGTGAATCTTTGTCACAGATCATCTACAGCAGATACAGAAAAGAAATTAAAATGATGATGTGAAAACAATGAGAGTAACACAGTAGGATAGAAATAACCTGCAAAAACATAAAGGGACACGTAACAAGTTGGACACATTTTTCTGCAGTGATTTTAAACCTTTTTTAGAGCGGAAACAGTTTTAAATTTCAAAAGGTGCCGTAAACATGAGTTTCTTTGTCTTGTGCACGTAAATAAAGGGAATGGGTTTATATTGTGGTGGCAAAAAATGAAGGAAAAGATTTTAAAATGTGCACAGATCGGTGTAAAAACTTTATTTTAGGACACTGGGTCAGTAAAAAGAAACCAAACTGCTGCCAACTGCTCTGTTAATTCCTAAAGGAGCTCAATGAACAAACGGTTCTGCTGCGTTTATTTATCTTTATCAAGAATATCTCATTTATTTATACAAGAAATGAATGTAATCTTCTGTTTTAAAACAAATCTAATACATATCCTAATACCCTAGTACATGCTCTAGAGGATAAATGAATAAAGTTATTTGAGTTGAATTAAAAACAAAGAAAACTGCAGCTTTAAAAATAAAATGAAATAAAATAAAATAGCTGCTAAAGAGTTTTTATCTGTCGTGTTTTATTTAATTATTTTTTTAAAATTCATATTTGAGTTTTATCTCAGTGGTGTGATCAGAGCTTCAGTTAACAGTAATTATCATTCATATGATCAATAACAGTCATAACTGTCATTGAGCTCTAATTTGCTGTCTCACATTTATGATGCCAAAAATACTGTGACCGAGAATAAACCTGACCAACACTTTAATATGCATGAACATTTAATAACAGATCAACAGTGTGAGGATCTAGTTTATGAACATGAGCTGCTGCTGAAGGTTTGATTAGTTGTTTTAAAATGACGAGAAAGACTCAGAAAAAAAAAACAGTCAAACAGTTAAACAGAGACATGAACAGATTGTAGCATTAAAAATGTAAATTAAACAATTTAATGTTAGATAACATTTTCAGTTAAAAATTGGCTTTGCAGTGATAATTAGTCACCATGTTGTCATAGATAACAGAAATGTTATTATTATTATTATTATTATTATTATTATTATTATTATTATTATTATTATTATTATTATTATTATTATTATATTTTTATTCTTATTGCTGCGATCAAATTATTTTTCCCTTCCTTAAATAAATAGAATAGAATAGAAATACCTGATTCATCCCAGACCTCGGAAATAATTTTATATATATAAAACTAAGACGTGCTGCTGATTTTAGTTGTAGTTAGTCAGTAAATGACTGACTCCTGATCAGACTCACTGATGATCAATAATCACGTGAACCCTGTGATGATGATGATGATGATGATGATCAGCCGTCCGCCTCCTCTGTGTGCAGAGCAGAGCTACGGGGAGGTCAACCAGCTCGGCGGGGTCTTCGTTAACGGCCGCCCGCTGCCCAACCCGGTCCGGCTGCAGATCGTGGAGCTGGCCCAGCTCGGCATGAGGCCCTGCGACATCAGCCGCCAGCTGCGGGTCTCCCACGGCTGCGTGTCCAAGATCCTGGCCCGCTACAACGAGACCGGCTCCATCCTGCCCGGAGCCATCGGAGGCAGCAAGCCGCGGGTCACCACGCCGGCCGTGGTGCGCAGCATCCGGGACTACAAGCACGGAGACCCGGGCATCTTCGCCTGGGAGATCCGGGACCGGCTGCTGTCCGACGGCGTGTGCGACAAATACAACGTCCCGTCCGTCAGCTCCATCAGCCGCATCCTGCGCAACAAGCTCGGCTCTCAGTCCCCGCAGTACGACGGCCTGAAGCCGGGCCCGGCCCCGCTGCAGTACGGAGCCGTCTACCCGTACTCCTCGTACGGAGGCCCCGGGGCTCCCACCGGCTCCAGGAGCGGCCTGCACCGGGGCTGGCACAACATCCTGGGCCTGAGGGCCTTCATGGAGCCGCCAGGTCGGTGGAGACTCTTTTAAGACCTGATTCATGGAGTGGCCTCAAAAACCCTGGTTTAGAGATAAAAACGTTCCATTTATACCTTAAAAAAACGTTTGATTAATGCATTTAAAACTATAAATAACACCTTAACACTCAGAGTAGAAGGTACTGATTTATAGCCTGCTTTTAAAAAAAAACTTCTGATTTATAGTGAAAGACGTTTAAACCTACCTATATATACATATACATATATATTAAAAACACCTCACATTTAAACTACAGAGTTCTACAATAAAAACTAAGAAACCACTGATTTAAAGTCAAAACTTTTGATTCATAAATCAAATAATTGAATTCACACATTAAAAACGTTTGACTTGTACATTTAAAATTTCTGATTTATATCTCAAGAACTTTGGATTTACAGAAGAAACTATCCTGATTTATAATTAAAGGCAATTTAAACATTAAAAGCTCCTGATTTATGAACATCTGATCTCTAGCTGCCTCATTCTGATGAAGCTGATGCCTTAAAACCATCTGACTGACACAAGAAACCACCTACTGATAGAATGTTTAATTTATGTCTCGCCTTAAAAAGTTTTGATTTATATGTTAAATTATTCATTTATACTGTAAAACTTCAATTTAAAGCAAATGATTTATACCCTGAAAACCCTCCGTTGATGCATTAAAACCCTCTGATATGAACAATAAAAATTCTCATTTCTTAAAAGTTTTACTATAAAAACAAAACCTGCAGCGTTCTACTGGTCCCATCATTCTGCATCTGCTTTTATACAGTGATGCCTAAAAAGAAATATTACATAATAGATGAATAAGGTAATAAATTAAATAATTTTCACATAAATTCTATTTTTGGCAGGTTAGAACAAACTGTTTGCTTCTTTTTGTTGTTTATTTGATTTTAAATATACAATAAATCTAAATACAATTAATTTCCCCAAACTTAAAGCATCAGATTTATTTCCATCATCTTCTCCACACTGATGGCATCTTTTATGTTTATATTTTATTTTAGAAGCTTTCCAGGATCACTGATAGATTTGAAACGTGACAGGAGCAGAACCTTGATCTGATCCGCTTCCTTTAATCATCCTCACACCTGCTTTTGTTCTGTTCAGTGGAACCTTCAGACCTCTGTGAGCCCAGATCATCCATCATGTGTGTTATTGTCCTCGCTGTTTACACAATCCACCGACCTCATCGGGACCACAGCCGCCGTACAACGTTCTATAATAATCAGAATAATGTCAAATAAGGCAGAAGAAAAGTAGTTAAAAAAAAAAAAAAAATAATAATCTACAGCTGATCAAATGTTTTAATCGGGAGAATGAGATTAAAACAATAAACACACATTAAAGGAGTCATAGAAGAGGCTGGTTGTTGTTCAAGATGATTAAAAGATAAATTATCTACCATTTGAACATCTCCACATTTCACCAAGAAGCTCAGCTCAGCAGATTTTAACCTGAGAATTGCTCCATTTTTAAAGTAGTTCCAGATAAAAGTGTCTATAAATTGTGACACTCAGTGCTGCAGCTCACTGACGTTAATATTCCAGTGAGTCCAAGACCAAACTGTGTGCCCTGGAATTTATTTATAGGATTTATAATCAGGGCTGCAAGGTGGTTAGCATTGTTGACTTGCAGCTACAAGGTCACCGGCTCGCATCCCAGTGAGGACACCCGGGATCTTTCTGAGTTTGCATGTTCTCCCCGTGCAGTGTGGGTTCTCTCCAGGTTCTCCAGCTTCCTCCCACACAGTCCAAAAACATGTTGAGGTTAATTGGTGATTCTAAATTGTCCGTAGGTGTGAATGTGAGTGTGCTTGGTTGTCTGTCTCTAAGTGTGGCCCTGTGATAGACTGGTGACCTGTCCAGGGTGTCTCCTGCCTTCACCCTGAGTCAGCTGGGATAGACTCCAGCCCCCCATGACCCTAGTGAGGATTAAGCGGTGTATAGATAATGGATGGATGGATAGATGATGGATATCTAATGATATGTAGAGGTGGACCTTGGAAATACTAGTTTTCATAAATTGTATTTTAAAGTAATCAACCCTTTAGATAATCCCGGAGAGGAGACGCAGAGAAACACAAAAACCCAAATTTATTATCCGACTAAAACTGCCGTCTGTGTTTCTAACAAAAAAACAAATAAAAAATCTCTCCTTAGCCTGATAATATCTGTTTACAACTGAACTATACCGTGTGTTTTCATTGCTTTAATGATGAGACGGTCCACGTTCTGTCAGAGAACCAGGAACCATAAGGCCACTGCTGTCTGTGTCAGAAAGAAACATGTTGACCTAAAAAGATTTGGACTTCAGCAAAATCATTTTCTTAAGATGTTTATTCTTATTTTTGTAAAATTGTGATAATAATAATAATAATTTAGATCTGGTATGAACAACACCACTGAGGAACACTGTTTACCAGCCACTGTTTTAAAGGATGCACAGAAAAGAGGACATGCAGACACAAATTTAGTGTAAAGCCTCAATGTACTCTGACTTTAAACCATAAAACAGATAAATAATAATCATGGTAATAATTATCTTAAACCAGGTGGAAGAGGTTTGAGTCTGTGCTGCTCTTCCATCATTTCAAGAGTGGAGTTGTTGTCATCTTTAGTCATTATATTCCTTTACTTCTGAACAACCAGCCTGTCTGCCTTTCTTTTCCTCACACAGTGCGTGAGCAGCAGTAACTGAGTTTGTTTTTATGTGATCATCTGTTGGAGGTGAACCAGTTTCTAAATTCCTGATAAAGGCCTGTTTTATGTGAGATGTCAGTTTCTGACAACCCACTAGTTTACTGTTTGTCTTTAAGTTATTCATTTGACCTGAACCTGCCTACATTTGATTAAAAACGGGGCGCTTTAAAACTTTTAACAGATAGTTTATAACATCTGCATTTGTAAAAGGGTTTCATTTCCATCAGACAGTATTTAGCTTTAAGGTATTTCTGCTAAATATGAACATTTACCCCGTTTGTAGCGTTAAAGACTTGGACATGTTTTCTTTGCTGTGTTCTTGTGAAAACATCGTTCAGCATCTAATGATTCAACAAGTCTGCTCCTTCAACAGAAAAGTCAGAAACCAACGTTTTATTGTGCTTTTTTACAAAATAAGAGACTATTTGTGCTTTGGTGACGGCATCCTAAAATAGTTTACACTGTTTGAACTGTGATGTTTTTTTAACTTTTAAATTCAGAATGAGGCCGTAGAGCAGCGGTTCTCAAACTGGGGGTCCCGAGATATTTCCAGAGAGTCACCAGATCATTGTAAAATAAAATAAAATAAAATAAAACAAAATAAAATAAAGCCTACATTTATCAGATAAATGTGTATTAGGGCAGTCAACACTAAAAGTGTATATTTCTTACCACTCCTTTGTTGAACTTGTTAATATTATGATTGGATGATGCCATATTATTATTATTATTATTATTATTATTATTATTATTATTATTATTATTCTTTTTTGCTCTTTTTAAAATTATTTTCTTTTGTTTATATATTTTTTTCTGTTTCATTTGTTCGAAATAAATTCATTAATTCATTCATTCAAAAGAAAATTAATGTAAAGAGATTAATCTGTCATTTTTAACACATTAATGCACAAAGTTATGACTCATGAAATATTAAGAATTCAAACTGGGGCATCACGAACACAAACTTCTGTTATCTTGGAGGTCGTGCCTCAAAAAGTTTAAGAACTGCTGCCGTAGAGGAGCTTACACTCAGCCCGTAACGGTGCCGGTGAGTGTTAAAGGGTTAATACGCTGAAGTTTGGTTTTGGGTTTGAGGACACACAACATATCCTGCTTCATTAAATGTCTTCACTGCAAGCAGCAGAAATGTATCTGTAAAACTAAAAAAAAAAAAAAACAACGTCCGTATCTGTTGGTCTAAGAGATGCAAAAGTTTAAAGTTTGTTTTCAATTTGATTTGCAAGACAAAAGTTTAAAAACTTAAATTAAAAAGAAAAAAGCAAAGTGAGGAAGATTTTAAACATAATGTCACATGTAAGTTTTATATTCAAGTTTCATGTTTATTTCATTCATATAACAGCTGAAAAAGAAAGACAGGTTTTGTACTAAAATGCTTTAAAAAGTCAGGATCAAGTTAAAGTGAAAAAAGACTAAATTAGAACACAAGTTTAAAGGCGATTTAAAACTATAGGGTTGAATTTAAAACCAAAAAACAGAAGCATAATTAAAAACAAGGGACTGAACACAAGTTAAAGGTGCTTCTTGAAGCATTATGTTGACTAACTTCATACAAAATGCATAACAAACTAAATCTATCATATATGTTCTACATTTCCACACAGGATTTTTAGCTCCATCCTGTTTCTTCATGTGATCCACGCTGTGGTGTTCAGGACTTGTTGTTTTTTAGCTGGTTATAGTTCTTCATGACTCCGGCTGGATGTTTCAACTCGTTCTGCTGCAGGATTTATTTGGTGCCGCAGCCTCGTGTGTGTTGGGCTGAAAAGCTGCAGCAGAAAAGTGTTTCTTCATTTTGGTTTGAGCTGGATGTTGTTGCAGAACTTTAAGAAGCCAAAGAGGAAATGAAGCAGTGAAGCTGTTTATAATAAAACTGTGGTTCAAACTGAAAAATAAACCTCCACCTATTCAGTGTGGAGCCCTAAAACTTGACTTTGAAATGAAGCAGCATGGCTTCAGTTTCCCTCCATCCGTCTGAAACCAAACACAAAGTTAACGTCCTTTTCTTTTTATTGATTTATTGCTCTGTTTTATTTGTTCTCTAAACTGTCTGATTTCATTTGAATTTTCCAAAGTAAAAGCACTTTGTCCTCTTAAAGTTCTCTCTAATCAGTTGATTTATTTACATTATTGTTATTATTATTTAAGGTGGTTTTATTGTGTGAACTTTTCCCTCAACTATTTTCTGCTCATTTAGTGTGAGTTTCCACAAACTATACGACACAGTCATGTGTTAAATTTGACTGATTTAATTTGAATTCTGTCTTTAAAGCTCTGCCTGGATCTGATCATGCAGCCAAAGTGGAGGACTGGACCAGTGTGACCAGTATGTCCAGTATGAGCAGCAGACCGTTCCCTCCTGGAATCAGCGCAGCAGAGAAAGCCAATGAACTGAACCTCAAATACCCACAGCAGGTAAATAACCTGAACATTGTCTGTGAATAAAGTGAGTTTTGGAAAAGAGAAATTATAGATATTTAGTTTGACAATAAATCCGTCTGTTGCTGCATATAAACCAAAATACAGATTTATATTTAAACTGAAATGTGTAGTTAGAGAAAGAGAAAAGCGACGACTTTACAAACGTATAAATAAAAGCAGGATTTTCTTTAAAATGCTGGTATTTTTTTTTTATTTGTCTGCTCTGATCTGATGTTTTCTCCGGATACGAGCCGATCTCTGATTGGCCACCAGTCATCCAGATGCTCCTGATGTTTTCCAGCTTGTTTAGAAGCAAACTAGAAACAGCTGTAAAGGAAAGGAGGGAAAAAGAAGAGAGAGAGCAGTTCTGCTGCTGCTGCTGCTGCTGCTGTGAAGAAAGTCTCTAGTTCTTTATATATCAGAGCACCTGGATTTTAATAATAATAGTATCACTGTGTTCTCTCAGCTGCAGCCAGATTAGTGAAAGTTGACATTAATGCAACAAGATGCACTTTTTTTGTTTTAGACTATAAAAGTGAGGACATTCGTGGAGAGTGAACGTTTATGAAACGTATGGACTTTCATTAAAACAGTAAACATGTATGGAAAGAGGACGTTTTTTTCAGTTTTAGGCTTTGAAATTGAGGATATTTTTGGAGAAAGAGAGATTTATGAGAACAGTGTGTATGTATGGAGAGAGTGGATGTTTCTGGACAATGAGAAGGTTTTTGGAAATACAGAACACTTATGTAAAATGTGAATATTTCAAAAAAAAAAAAAAAAGACTTTATGGAAAATGAGGATATTTTTTTGCCAAGTGAAGAAATTTTGACAAGTGAGATTTTTTTCATTTTTTTAAATTTTTAAAATGAGATGAAGGAAAACGGGCAATTTTGAGGAAATCCTACTTTTGAAACAAATGTAAAACTTTGTGTTTGGTTTGGTCGTTTTTAGAATGTGAGTTAATTAATTTGAGGGACATTTGTGGAAAGTGAGGATCATTTTGGAAAGAGAGCTGCTTATGAAAATGAGAAGTTTTCTGTTAAGCACTCAGAGATGGTAGCAGCCGGTTGTTGGCTGGTGTGTCCACAGCTACACGTCTCAGACACCTGCCAAATGTACGGACTATTCATGATCCCCAGAGGATGAATCCTGGTGATTTATTTGAGCATCACCATCAGGTCAAAGTCAGGATTTTAACTAAGTGTGAATGTTCAAAACACGTGGCATTAATATACGACGGTTTTATTTTTCATTAGACGAGGTGTTTTCAGCATTCTCATGTCTATATTCCTTTTTTAAAAAATTCTTTTCCTCAGTCTCCATCCAGTCTGTCTGGTTACGTCTCAGCTTGTGCGTATTCTCCACCCAACCAGTACAGCATGTACGGAGCTCCCACAACCAACTACATGAGCGCTGGACACCACTGGCAGCACCAGTCCTCCAGTCTGACTCCCAGTCTGACTCCCAGTATGCCCCCCGGTTTGAGTCACTCCAACCCTGCAGCACCGCTGGAGGCTGCAGATTTCCACCCTGCAGCACATCTCAAAACTCCACAAAGAGAAGGTGAGACTGATGAGGCAGATGTTTGGTTTAGAACATCTAATCCGGGTGTTTTGATTCAGTCATGATAATCTAAAGCGTAGATGAAACCTAATGCAAGTTTAAACACTCAAACTGAGGACTCAAATGCCACATTTGTTCGCTCTGAAATTCCCAATTTGTCTTTCAGCCCATTGTTGATATTCAGGCGTATTTTAGGACGGAAACTAAAGCGGACGTTGATTTTTGTGGCCTGGCGGAAAAGTGCAAATCTCAAAAATCGTCCCGTGAAAAGCTGCCGTCCTGTGTTTTAAGCTATAAAAACACATCGGAGGGGATTTATTTTCTGCAAAATGCCGCGTTTCTCCCCTCAATGACCGCTCGGGTGTTTTTTTAAGGAGCAGGGATGGCCGAGTTCAGATTTAAATGGTCCCAAATTACACAGAAGAAATAGCTGCTGGTTTAGATAGGAAAAAGAATAAATTGTAGTATTTATTTAGTGGGCTGCCTCGTTCAAAAATACTGTACAAATTATATCATGCAACAAAAAAAATAAATAATTATAACACAACTGTCAATATGTTTTACACAAATCAAAAGTTAATGGAGGTTAATTAACTAAACACTTTGCTAATTAGTTTTGTATCTCCAGAACAAAACTCACATGAATTGTACAGTTAAAAGTCTGAACTAATGAAGCCAAATCAGATCGTAGCCCAGCATGCAGCTTCAAGCCCCGTTACAGCTGCTCAGAAACACGCAGAACCAGTTCCTGATCTGGTCTGATCATCTCCAGATCTACAAACATCGTTCATTCAACCTCCCACTGAGGTTGAGGGAAGACCAACAGAAAGGTGAAAACTCTTATTTATTTCTGTTTTCTCTGCAGAGCAACAGAAGCTTCCCCTGAACAAACATCATTATGCTGCTCACAGATTATCTTCAGCCTCGTGACGACGCGGAGGAAAAACTAAAACGCCTTCAGCTCTTAGGAGACTCGTGGCAAACTTTACTTTGCCGGTGCTGGAACTGAAGACCTGAAGGAAAACTTTCAAACCACGACTTGATTGAGTGAGGAAGAGGTGAAGGAAGGACCGGAAAAACACAACCCACAGCAAAACAGAATCAGTTTCCATTTTTTTGAACTGCTCCACAGACTGTATGTAAAAGATGCCACTATGATGTCACCGATTAGTTTGTGGACCACCGCCTCCAAGCCTCGGGTTTGGGACTTGGTCGTCACCAGATGTAATGAGTGAGTGGTGGATCTGACTAAGAACCTGAGGACACTGCACACGGTGACACTTTAGCGATCTGTCAGTCACAAGCTAGCCTCGCCCTAAAACATACCCTTTAGCTTTATCAGCAATTTTTTTCAAAATGAAACAATAAATTACAAAATGACCACCATGCTGTATTGAAACTAGTGATTGAAACCATAAACTGTTTGCTTGTCTAACAGATCAAGTGAAACGTACGCTCATTTTCTCATCTATGCGATCAGAGTCGCCCCCTGCTGGCTGTTACAAAGAATGCAGGTTTAAGTCACTCCATGTTGGCTTTATTTTTCCGACCCCGAGGCTACGTCTGTCTTTCATACACAGTCTTTGCTCCGACCTGAATCAATCTTTTTTTTTTAAAAAACATTTAAATTGCATTGACATTGTATCATCTTGTAAAATATACTGGCAAAGCTGTACATATATTTTTCTATAAATGTGCTTAATAAAGACTTAATAATGCAACTTAAACGTATCTCAGAGGTAATTACAACATTAGGAGGGAAGGCTTTTCCAGTTTTTCCACACAGAGCAGAGCTGGCAGTCAGTTTAATAATAAAAATCTGTTTTTAACTTAAGCTGTTACATATAGAGCTGTTATGGAGTTGTGTGTGACACAAAGTGCAGCACAGATATTTATGCACTGATTAGGTTTTGTAGAAATGTCTGATTTTTTTCTAATCAGTCGGTTTTGCTCTGCTGCTATTGAGGGTTAACATCATTTATAGTGTGTCTGCATATTAACGTTGGAGGTTTATGATAACTATTTAGCTACCACCAGGACAGCAACATGCACAGAGAACCTGACATGGCGACTCTATTGTTCTTGGGTCTCTGTAATACAATAGCTGTAGTATCATCTGCTCATAGCAGCAGCAGTCTGAGGTTTACTCCGATCATCTGGATTTACATCATCTAACTAGTTGCAAACTTTTTGGGAAGGAGGAGAATGTCAACCAGTCAGATCTTCACTCTTGTTTTATAAAAAGACTTTCAGTTTGTACCGAACTCATTTGTTGTAACGTTTGCTTTATCAAATGGCTTTAACGTTTTCTGTTTCAACCAATTCACTCACAGAGAGGTTGTTTTCATCTAGAGGGCTGCGGTTAGTTTTGATTGGTGGCCAATTATTTAGCTTTTGTCGTTAAGAGGGGTCCAATGTTCTCCAGGTGTGGTGGATATTTCTGCAATTGAAATTTTTTGCTTTGCTTGTTATTCTAAATTCATTTAACCCTATTCAGGACTTTCATGTTGCCAAAAGTAG